CATTTATTTGACAGGCTGGGAGGGATAAAACTTTTTTAAAATAATTCTTTTTTGCTTTCTTTATTAAGCATGTGACTAATATCGATTTCAAGGAGTGTAAAAAGCGCATTAGAACAAATTTATATAGGAAACGTTCCCATATTTCTTATGTAAATATTTTATAGGCTTTAACATCGTGTTGAAACTAATTGGAGGCAGACAAAATGTTCGTGGTATATCTATACTACTATATAAGTGTGTTTTCATATTCCTCTTAAATGCAATCATAACCTTTCATTTAATTTAATAAAGATGAATCTAAATCTTTCATTTTATTTATACATTTAATTAACTTATTTATTAACTTCATTTATATTTGCTACATATTGGAAAATTCATGACAGTGGAAAAGTATAAAGCTTAATGTCTTATCTTTGTCCAAAGATCTAGCACGCAATCAGTTAAGAGAGAGGATGTAGTATTCATAAGAAATACCAAGATTTTTACGTTGAAAATCCAAAAAAGGGGAAAAACCACAACCTAGCCCAGGTTGAATGAATCAGCTAGTATTTGCAGTTGCAAATAAGGCCCTTCATTGGAGGGAAGGACTTCAGCCCGACCTTCGTCGGACCACCGCCTGACTGCCGATTACCTTCGTCGGACCACCATGCGGCCACCGACCACCGCAGGACTTCAGCCCGACCTTCGTCGAACTACCGCCCGGCCGCCGATCGTCGCCGGACTTTAGCCCGACCTATGTCTGACCACCGCCCGTCTGTCGACCGCCGCCAGACTTCAGCCCTACCTACGTTGGACGACCACCCGGCTGCCGACCACTGTCGGAACACCGCCCGGCCGCCAACCATCGCCGGACCGCCCCCAGTCGCAGACCGCCGGACTTCTGCCCGACCTTCGTCGAACTATCGCTCGGTCGCCGACCATTGCCAAATTACCGCCCAACAGCCGATCGCCGTTGGACTTCAGTCCGGCCATCGCCGGACCACCGCCTGGCTGCTGTTCACCGCCAGACCTTCGTCATATCGTTCTTTATCAGCCAAACTTCTGCACAAAAGCCGTCGGATTTTCGTCCGACCGTCATCGGTCCTTTGACTAGCTCTTCAAATTACTGTAATCTGACCACCTCTAAATCGAAGGATGGGTCAACCCTTGTAATTCACTCAAGTTTGGTGTAATCTTTTCACCTGGGCGAGGCCCCGCGGTTTTTCCCTCTTCGGGTTTTCTACGTAAAAAAGATCAGGTGTCTTGGTCTCTCTCTTTCTGCTTGCGTGCTGGATCTTCGTACAATGCTAAGATGCTAAACTTCATTTTTCTCTATCGTCACGAATATTCCTGGACGCAATAATACTAATAAAAAAAATGGATAAAGCATTAAATCAAAACATCAATAAAAATAGTTGAAATCAAATCAATGTAATAAAATCATATAAGTATGTTCACCTGCTATATAATTATTATATATCAGTATAAAATTAGTATCTCATTTTCAAGCTCAATATCTCAATCATACATGCTCAATAAATTTTGTATATTACGTGCTCAGTATATCACATATTTAATATCATTACAATGAATCAGTAGTATCAAATAATATTAGTATCTATATCAGTAATAGTAATATTATAGTGGCATGAGTAATAGAATAATGCAATAATAGTAAATTCGTGCAGTAAAAATAAATTCGTACAAAAATAAGAAAAAAATGCCTCAAGAACATGTGTTTAGATAATCACACTAAACAAGTAAGAAATCTTAGCTATCACAGTATTTTTCATTGTTACTAAACCGTTGGCTCACTAAATAAAGTTGGCCTATCGACACAATAATAATCTCATTATAATTCTCAATCAGTGTATCACATGAATTAGCAAATGATAACACCAAACCACAGTATTTAAAGAAAAGCTCATCGACCAATCAACCTGTATATGTCAATCAATCTCCAACTAATGGGTCAAATAATATTTATTTGTTTATTTTACATAGATATTATTATCACAATATTATAACAACAATAGCGTTCAATTATTACTCAAGCACATATCCACATTCATTTTCAATACAATGCAATAAATAATACATAATTGAGCTTAATTAAGAAGAAACCAAAATGTCATAACGGTAGACAATAAAGAATTCTATTAGGCAAAAATACACATTTTCAAAAAATTATCAAATTATCAGGGATTATATAAAATGATATTTTAAGACTATTATTGTATTACGCTACTTTTTGAGATGTCAAAATAAATTTATGGGTTGAAAAATTATTGTCTTTTCAAAATTATATGGTAAAAAATCTCAAATAAATACTCAAAATGCTAAGAATCAAGATCTCTATAATATACAAAAGTTACACGGTCAAAATTTTGTCAATACAAAGTTACTCACATTTTTTGTAATGAAAATATAAATTTGATCATGAAAATACTAAAAACGCAAAATATTTGAAATTAGAAATAGGATAAAGATTCCTTACAACTAGAGTAAATCTCCCAATTGGTCCGACTAACAAAAATTATTTTGCAGCCTCTAAATTTGAGCTTCTAATTTCTCTCTCCTCTCATTTCCCTCTAAATTTGAGCTTCTAATTGTTGCTAAAATGAAGAAAAGAAAATGTTTTAAACAATTTAGTGACTTTAGATATTTATAATAAAATATTAATATAATTATTTAGTTTAATCAATTCTTTAGTATATAATTCAAATAAATCATTTTAGGACTTTAAAAATTACATAAAAATATTCATAAAATAAATCATATTTTTTAAAAAATATCCGTGAAATCGGTTTGCAAAACAAACATCTGACTGTCTTGAAATCCTCACTTGTACCGATATGTGCCGATTTCTTAAAAAAAATATCATCGTTGCCCAAAAATTACAAAAAAAAAAAAAAAGTGTACGTAAAATACCATAATCAAAATACTATGAAGAAGACGGATTGCGATTTGGAGTGATAATAACTCTAAAAGAAAATTGGCAAAGTCAAAATATGGGCTATTACAAGTCCGACGTTAGTCGATGGTCGGACAGAACTCTGACGTCGATCGTTGCCGGGTGGAAATCCAACATTGGTCGGGAATGAGTCTGGTGGCAAGAGAACTCAAGTTTCTCTTCTTCATTCTCTTCCTTATCTTCTTTGCTTCCTTGATTGGACCCTTCCCTCAAGATAAAAGAGTTGTCTATTTATAGTTTTCTAAGAGTGACAGGGCTAGAAAATACGAGGGAGATCAAATATACGTTGGGAGTGGTTTGAATGGATGACCGATATTGATCCCCTGATCATGGACAGTTTACCGGGCATTTGAATGTCTTAATGATATTAGAATTTAGTGATCTTGGGCTCATTGGATTTGTTTCATCGAGCCGCTCGACTCGATTATAAGCATGTCCTGTTTGGAAATTGTTTGATAATCCAATTTACAATGTATGGTTTGAGCTTTCCAAATGCGCTTTGGGTCTTCGATTTTTGGACCAGTTTGGGCTTGGATTGTGTCGAATTTGGTGTCGTTGGGTTCGTAATTTTGAGACATTAATTCAACTATAAGTTTGCTAAAATCAGAGTTCAGATGGTCCCAAATTTATTTTGGGAAGTTTCCAACTTAATTTTGCCTCGAGATTCATGCCTGAATAAGATAATTTTTTGGTGATATATCAATATTGTACTTGAAATTAAGTGATTTTAAAATATACTAAAATCGAAATCTAATAACAAATTTGAAATACTTCAAAAAAAATTCTGAATTTTTTTACTTTAGACTAAGCATTATTATTTTCAAAACATATATATTTAGAATAATTTACTCTTCTTTTACTTTAAAGCCAATAACCCCTTAGATAATTGAGATTTCTAACTATTATATTTATTGCATTTTTTTTATTTAGAAACACTCATATTTGACCAGATATAAAACAAGCATATTACAACTAAATACTATGCAGATAAGCTTAGAATAAATTATTTAAATCAAGAAGTAAAAGTTCAAAATAGTCTTATTGATAAATGTTTGATATAATCTCAAACTTTCGCATTGTCCCAATTTAGTCTCTCAATTATTAAAAAATGATTCATTATAGTCTCATAGCCTAAAATAAAAGTTAAAGTTAACTCTGTAGTTAAATATAAAGGGTAATTTGATATTACAACTTGATATGATATTATATTACTTATATTGCTCTATTTTATCATTTAATGTATTATATCAAATATTTAATCTGCTACATAATAAGAGTAAATATATTGTGAAAAAAGTATATTTTATTTAAAGCAAACCTAGACATGTCTACTCCTTATGGAAGTCTCATGTTACTTGTCGTCTCGTTCTCACAATATTGAAGCTCATTGTGATTGCTCGTGGTCGCATGTAGTAGTAGGGGTTTGGATGTGAAAGCATGTCGCCTCACTCATGGCTGTCTAGCTTGTGGCGCACCGTCTCGTTCGCAGTTGCATGCAACTTTGGATGTCAAACTGAAGCTCGCCGTCTTGCTCGTAGCGTGACTCGTTGCAAGTAGCTAGAGGGCGAGACGTCTCGCAGAGAATGTTGTCTCGCTCACAGCTTCTCCTTCACACAATTTGATTTTTAGTTTTGTTTTCAGGGATTAAGCAAGAAGACAAATATGAAACATATTTTACTAAAAAAAACCCGCAAAGAAACAACCGATCTAATCAAGGGATTAAATTGGATTGAGGGACAAAATTGGACAATATAAAACTAAGATTAATTTAAACATTTATCAAAAGTTCATGCTATTTTGAGCTTTTACTCCTTAAATTTCACTCTCAAGCTCTGCCATTGGAGAAATTATTGTACACACATTTATAGATAGTGTATATCAAATAAGTGTATGGTCTCCTGCCATTTTGCCGCCTATGCTCTACCAAAAATAAAGCCCATTACGAGTGGAAAACCCTAAACCTTGAGACCGTGATGACTTCCAAGGATTCTCCCTCCTTCAAGGTTTTTTGCTTCAATTTTTTTTTCCTACTTCTTTTCGTTTCGGTTAATATTATGCACCATGCTTTCTGTTACTGTAATCGAAACGCAGATAATCTTGGGCTCTTCATCCTCATCTCGGAGGCAAATTTTATCCGATATGGGATACGAATTCTCCATAATGGTTCGTTCTATATTTTGTTAAATTTCCTCACTTGTTCCTGTGTATTTAAAATTTTGATTTGAGAAAATGTGGTATTGGTTCAGGCCGCGGATATAGATGAGAAGCAGATTCGTATGGAAAAGCCGGAGGAGCTGGTGATGGCCCTAGCTGAAGCCAAGGTGAAAGCCTTGGATTCGCTTAAGTTTCGTTGTTTTGTCGTCTTTCACCCATTCCCCTAGGGTTTTCTTATTACATTTTCTTTTGGTCAACTAGGCAGATGCAATTATCAGTAAGCTTCAGATCAATGAGTTCACGGAGAAGGATGAGCCCACCCTCTTGATAACAGCCGATCAGGTATACAAATTCTTTCATCTTCTTCTTTATTCTCGCTTGATTGTTGCTAAACTCTCTCTCTCTCTCTTTTATTGGAAATACTGTAATGTCACATTTTTCTTTTTGTCTTAGGGTAACTTAAATTGAAGTGAATTTTAAAAGTAAGAAGTTCTAAAATGTTCAAGATTAGTTATTAAGAGAGCGAAATTAGAACTTTAAAATTGAAGTATTGAACCAAAGTGGATGTGGGATAAAGTGAAAAGTGCAGTAAGAAAGTGCTAAAGAAGTTTCAGGAGATTCTAGAAACATGGGTGATACACGTCTTTGTCAGCTCTTGTATGCAGATCTTTCTCTACTTTAGGTTTGGCAACGATGGCTGAGCTTGAGCAAGAGCTGATTGCTAGTGCGCAAAGTTCAAACTAAATGATGAGGAGCATTTGTGAAGGGCCACCACCAAGGGAGGAAGTGCTCATTAGTGCTAGAGCATTTAGATACAATTGATTTTAATTCAAAAGATAACTATTTTTGTGCTTTGTTGATTCGTCAAAATTAGTTTTCCTAACTCATCTTGGAAGTGATGGGCATTTTAGGAATTTGGGGGCTTAAGGTATATGGCATGGGGTGTATAATCTGATTTGGGGATCAAATTGTATTTTTTTTAATTGAAAAATATGAACTGAAATGAAGTCCTAGTCCGTTGTCCTCAATGAATTGAATGTGATTTTTCCCATTTTGTTATTTACCAACCATCAATTGGTGTGTCTTGTTTGATTTTAGGCTAATTTTAAATCTACGCATGATTTCACACACCATCGAAGGATTTCAAGTGGAATTTCATCTACTTTAAAAGCATGTTCAAATTCACATATAGTTTGAGTTGAGCAAAATTCAAAATTTCAAGAATTTTGGGGTTAATTTACCTGAACTCAATATTGTCCATTTTTTGGGTGAGGATTTTTTGAGGGGTTCTCTTATGAGATGCATGACTTATACCATTTAATGGAAGCATATTGAGGCTTGCCATTATAACTTAATATGCTTTTTTTTTTTCTTGCAATTAGGGTTGTTAACGGTTCAATCTCGAGTTGTAATAAGGTTGAGTTTAAGTTGGCTTGATCTGGTCTCCCATTCAATTCATCATGGCTCATTAATTTTGAATCGAACCCAAAAATTATCTGATTACAATTGATTTTCAATATCTTAAGATAACCTGCACATATCAATTAAAGTCTAAATATAAATGTAATGTGTATATTACATATATTCGATACCCACAAATATATTTCAATTTGATCTTATTATGTTCAATCTGAGCCATTTTGAACAATCATCAATCTTTAAGTCAAATGCATGGGCCCAATTTGTAACTCTACCATCTGTTTTATCTTTGTATTGTTTTTGGTTTGGGGAAAGATATCATTTTTCCATTATCATACAGCCTTGTACGTTTCCTCATTAAAACTTTGTTAAATCTCAAATTTAAAAAAAAAAAAAAATCTTCTCATTAAATTTTGTTTGTACATGGATTAAGAGCACAAGAAAGCCCAACTGTGTTACTATTCTAGATTTTGCTCGAGACTGGCATTTCAGTATTTATGTTGCGATTTTTCTCAAGGTTGTTGTCCATGGAGGAAAAATCAGAGAAAAGCCTTCCAGCAGAGAAGAAGCACGGGAATTTATCAAAGGCATGCATTTATTTATTTTTACCGTAGAGGTTTAACTGAAAGAAAAGCCTTCCAGTATGACATGTTTTGCTTTTAAATTTATTTCAGGATACTCTGAGGGGCATGCAGCCACTGTGGGATCTGTTGTTGTGACCAACCTCAAGACTAGCGCTAGACAAAGAGGATGGGACAAAGCTGAAGTGTGACATTTATTTTTATTAGATTAGATGTTTCGTAGTGTTTATATATACATTTGTATATAATTTATGGTTCTAAGGATTTGGATAGGAAGCGTGTCTATCAATGAATTAAAAGCTTTTTATATCTTGAATTTGCAGGTATATTTTCACAAAATACCTGATGAGGTTATTGAAAACCTGGTATTGCATCTTTTCATGCATTGCCTAACATTTTTGAACAATATTCCTTTTGATCAATCAGATTTTTTTGTGGACTCTTTTTCAGGTAAATGAAGGTGATGTTCTTTATGTTGCAGGCGGTTTATTGGTAGAGCATCCCTTGACTTCTCCCTTTGTGGAAGCAATGGTAAGTTACAGGTTCTTTATTCTGAAGAATTGTGTGCTATTTGGCATCTCTGCAAGGTTTTTGGTTATTTTGCAGGTTGGAACTCTTGATAGTATCATGGGACTTCCTAAGCATCTAACAGAAAGGCTGATCCAAGATGCCCTTTGACGTTCATAAGCATGATTTCAAGAAGCCTCGATGCTCTAGACTTTCATTTCAGCCATTCATTACTCATTCTTATAATTTATTGATTGGGAATTGCTGTTGCTAGCCTTAAGTGCTGCAGAAAAGAACGGTTTGAATATTTTAGTCGTCGCCGTTTGGGAATATGTAAGTGTTATTTTTTCAAATTGAAGGAGAGATTTGATTTGGATCTTCGTTATGGCTTGTAATGAATGATTATTGAGTTGTGCTTTGCTAGAATGAATTGAGATGGGAGATTTCTTGAGACCACCAACGCATTTGGGGGTTCGTCGTTCTTCTTCCGTTCTGTTCTATGCCTCCTCTCTGAAGTCATCATTCATCGATATCTTCAATACCCTAGTATATATTTTCATCTCTGGTTCTTTTTCCTTGTTAGATATGTTCATCTTTTTTCTATTGCCTATAGAACAACTTGATATTATAGCAAAAACTCACTAAGGCGTCCTCATTATTAGCTTGGGTTGCACCACAAATTTTGTTCGCTATCTTGACCACATAAGATCTGCTTTACATTTTAACATCCACCAGCATTCCTGTAAACTACAATCCTAGACCCGAATATAAAAAGGAAATGGTAGCTTCATTCTGTTAGCGCAAAGAGTCCTTCCAAGGCTTTTTTTACTTACATTTTAGATAATGGAAATATTTGCGCCATTTCCCTCTCACCGGTATGCATTTCTCTAGCACTCTATTGACTGAGTTGTGGATTTCGTTAGATCTGGAATACCATTGAAATACCTCTCATTCAAGTATTAGTAATATTTTCTTTTTATGTGGTCATGATTTGTTAAACGTTTGATTTCTACTAAGTGCCTCAATGAACTATCATTAATTTTTTTTAACTTAATACACTTTTAAAAATCTATTTTTTTGAAAATCTTTATTTTAGTATATTCCTAGGTTCAGAAGATGGAGAAAATTGAGGGAGGACATTTTGATCAACGTAAAATGTTTACTAAATAATTTAAATTTTTTGTTTTAAAGCAAATTTAATGAGCAAATAAGGCTAAAGATTCAACAAAATTACCCTGCTAACTCTAGTTTACCTACTTGAACGTTGGGACATGCAAACTATAGGCATATGACTTCCTCAGTTATATAAGTGCAAGATGATATAAAGAGGAGAAGCATGATGAATATATCATTTGTTCATAGATGCCCATGTAAGCTAACAGGGGGGGGGGGATGTTTCTTTTCATAGGAATCAACAATACAAAACAGCTCAAGCAAAGAAATTATTACAGTAAATAAACATCGAATCAATTCAATAAACATTAATTACGAATGACAACAAAAATCATGAAGCCACCATCTTCCACTGAAATCTCTCTGCATTAATCTCAAATGGTGCCCGATTGTGACTTTAAAATAGTTCCAAGATTATACAAATATAATTCAAAAGGATTTTTATTTCTGCTAATCAGCATACGAAGAAGCTCATCTCCCCCCTCATCAGTTGTCTGCAAACTTTATAAAGAGGATGATATCCACCGCCTTCCACAAATTATCCTTCCCATAAAGAATGGCTTCTCATTGCATCTTTCTGTTACCTCACATACCATCAATAAATATTAAATTCTCAATAATAATACTAATGAGAACTTAGATCTAGGATTATGATTGTGATCACGTTACCGTCTAAAATAAAGGGAAAAAAAAATCAACAATTTTTATTTTTATTTCATACTCTCGACAATTAACCAAATCAGCAAGGGATGAGACAAGTTAAGTATTGAAAACTCACCACTTTCATTATTCTAATAGAATTTATTATTACATTTTAGCCAATCAGATCTATGAATACAATACGAGAGCAAAGATGAAAAAATGAATATATATGTATATAAAATACCTTATCGGCGGTTCTTTGGTTTTGCAGGTTCCTTTGGTTTTGCAGGATGTGTCCGGGGAATAGCAATAATGGCCGCCAAGCCGCCAAAAAAAGCTGAAGCTGCTCCCACAGCAAAGGCGGGAGAGTTCCCACCTCCAAATAACTGATCCCATGGTCCACTTCCCAGAGATACAATGATCTGCTTTTGCATTACTACATTCAATAGCAGCAAGATGATAGTAGTACCAACAAACTAAAACCAATGTAATTTGGCAAACCCCAAATACTCATTCTACCTTTTTTAGAGCACGTTTGCAATCATGGAGTTAGAATCAAATACATATTTCAAGAATACAAATACCCATCATTATACCCATGAAAATGGAGAAATCAAATTCATATGAAAACGAACGATCCAGACTTTGGAAGATGTACACAATGTGCACGCCCTCAACTATGGTGATGGCTAGGAATAACATTTACTGTTGGTAGAATTCTCAAACAACCACCACCACGAAACTAGAATTAAAATGTCCTAGTACAAGGTGTTGTATGCGAGGTGAAGGCCTCCATTGTGCTAGGCAAAACCAAGTGATTCAACCAAATAAACAACTTCAGCCATGTTCAGTACATTAAACCGTTCAAGTTCTCCTTGTTGCACGAGTTAGTTGATGTACGTTATTTTTTCATGTTTCTTTACTTAAACGGTCATGTTGACCAAATGCACATTGTTCGCTAACGCCAAGGAGAGACTAAGATTCAAGCCCAATCTGAGTTTCAAAGATCATTAGAGCAAATCTTAAATCAACAACATCCCGAGCTATGCAATAAGAAAATCAAGATGCTCAGGGTCCTCTGGAAGAATCAAACCAGGCAGGAAGCTTTCTGCAAGGCAGAAGTCAAGTAAGATGCTTTTTTTAATTAAACTTCTTCATAAATGTATGTATAAATTTTGAGGACAAAATTCTTCTAAGGAGCGTGCATTCTAAACACTTGAGTGCTCACACACGAGAAAATTTTCTTAGCATTAAACTTAAGAAGGATGGTTAAACCAAGATAATAGGACTTTTGGTTAATCAACTTTATAGTGAAATTGAACATCTCAATGAGACAAACCCAACAACATCAAATTTGATTCAATCCGAGCACAAATCAAGGGTCCAAATCATATTTTGATGGTTCAAAGCATTAGACCACCAAATGATATATGAATATGGTATGCTTATAGTCAAATCCAGCGGCTCGGAGAGACGAGTCCATTGAGCCCAATATCGCTGAATTTTGACATCATTAAGGCGCCCAAATGCTCAATACATACTCTATGATCAAGGGAATCACTATGGCCCGTCCGATTGAACACTCCCAATTTACCCTTGATCTTCTCATTATTTACAAGTCATGTCACTCTAAAAAATCTATAAATAGGCCCTCATTCTTCACTGGGGGATGAAAGGAGAAGGAAAGAAATTGGAGAGCTTTCTTGCCGACAACCACCGCCTAACCTCCGCTCGTTCGGTCAACCACATAACCTCCGCTCGTTCGGTCAACTGCCTGACCTCCACTCATTCGTCGACCACTGCAGGACTTCCGCCTGTTCGTTGATCTTCGTCGGACTTTCGTCCGTTCATCGATTGCCGCCAAATCTCTTCCCGATCATCGTCGAACTTTCGTCCATTCGTCGACTGCTGCTCAATCTCTTCCCGACCGTCGTCAAACTTCTGCATGTTCCTCGATCGCCGCCAGATCTCTCCCCGATCGTCGTCAGACTTCCGTCTGTTTGCTTGCCACCGCCGAATCTCTTCCCAACCACCGACCATCACTGGACTTCTGCTCATTCGTCGGCTGCTGCTGGATCTCTTCCCAACCACTGACCGCCGCTTGCCTTCGTCCGTTCTCTGACTATTGACAGAACTCTTCCTAGATGCTATTAATCATGGATCTCTTCCCAAATATTATCGTCTATCAACTACGGTCTCTCTAACTAACATCTCCAGACTACAATCCTTCTAACCAGCATTGCCAACTACAGTCATCCCGACCTCTATCGCCCGCCAACTATGGTCCTTCTTTCCAGCCACCATCGCCAACTACGATCCTTCCAACCACCGTCACCCGACTACAGTCCTTTCGACCACTGTCGTCTGGCTACAATCTTTCTGACGTCTATTATCTACCAACTATGGTCCTCTTGACCTTCATCGCCCGCCGACTATTGTCCTTCCAACCACCATCACCAACTATGATTCTTCCGACCACTGTCGCCGACTAAGGTCCTTCCGACCACTATCATCTAACTATGATCATTCTGACCTCTGTCATCTGCCAACTACGGTCCTCTCGACCTCCGTCTCCTGCCAACTATGGTCATCTCGACCTCCATCGCCAACTACGGTCCTTCTAACCTCCGTCATCCGCCAAATACGATCCTCTAGACCAACGTCGCCTGACAATGATCTTTTCGACCTCCGTCGCCCAACAGCGGTCCTTCCGATCACCATCATCCGACTACGGTCCTTCTAACCTACATCGCTTGACGACTATGCTCCTGCTGACCAAACGAACATATTAACATTGATTCTTCCAACTCCCACCATATAATGCACTCTATATGATGTACATTTGCTACATCGAGCCAAAACCTTCCTCCTAAGGAAGAGCCTTATTTGTAATCAACTGCAAATATTAGTGGATTTATTCAAACTAGGCAAGGCCCCATGATTTTCCCCCTTTTTAAAGTTTTTCATGTTAAAAACTGTGATGTCTCTTATGAGCATTGCAACCCTAATTATTAATTTGTTTCTGTGTTGGATATTATACAAAGCTAGGACGCTAAACTTTATATCTCTCTACCGCCGAGAATATTTTATGACGCAACAGTATTTTAAGTATCACACATTGAAGTTTACATGTAGAGTTCTTAGAATTAGTGATGTTTTGGACTATATTCATTTGACTAATAGGCCTTGACAATATTATATCAAAAGATGAATCTATATACATGCTTAACTTCATAAATGATTTCTCACGAAAGGTATGGATTTTCATGCTTAAGCATAAGATTGATATATTTGATATATTCAAAAAATGCAAGGAACATATTGAGATTAGTAAGGAAAGAAGTTCAGGATATTGAGGACTAACAATGTTACAATAGCATTTTGTTCCTTTGAATATGAGAATTTTTGTGAGAACGAAGGCATTGTAAAACAGAAGATTGCAATGGACGCAACTCTGCAGAATGGAGTGATGGAAAAAAATAAATGTGATATTCTTGGAAAGGGGCATATGAATGTTGATTTGAGGAATGATTTTTTTGGCAGATGATCAATTTGCTAGTTGGTGAATGGATCTTCAGCTACCACTATTAAGTTGAAGACTATAGAGGATGTATGGTTACTTCATCCTAAATATTACTATATTATAAAGATCTTTGGTTGTTCAGCTTATATGCCAAAGCCTAGAGCTAAGAAGTGCCCATTCTGATGGACTGGCCAATTTGATTGGGAGAGAATTAGAAAGTCTCCTAATAAAGAGGGAGTTGTTTAAGAAGGTTCTTAATCAAAATGGAATTATTTAGAAAATTTTTAATTACAATTTGGAAGGAATTATTTATAGCAAGAAATCTAATTTGAAATCAAAATTTATGAGAGAATCATTTAGGGATAGGAAGGAATCAAGGGGGAATTGTTTAGGAAAGTTTTAATTATAATAAGGAGGGAATTATTTATGTCAAGAGATCTGATATGAATTCAAATATGAGAGGGAATTATTTAGGAAAATGGGGCTGATTTGAGGGGGAATTAGGGAGTAATAATAGGGTGATTTCAAGATTATGATGTTATTTGCTGAATTTAGATTGTTCTTAGGGAGTTTTGGGCTCTAGTCGTCGGCTATGAATTTGGGACAACCGGGCCATCCTCTTCAATAGAAGATCCATTGTATCTTGTTGTTTTCTTCCGTATATCATCAATTAAAAAGAATTTTCTCTTATTATTGCTCTTAATTCTTCTTGAAGACTGTGTTTGGGATTGTTGTAATTTAATTTCAGCCAAGGGAGATAGGATTTTTACAAGAACTTCCTATCAAATTGGTATCAGAGTCGTGTCCTGGGCTGAAATATAAGTCTTCATCTGATGTGAAACATATGTGAATGGAGGGTGAATTAGGAACTTGCACGCTTGATCTAGAGAACAATATTATTTAAAAGCTTTTAAGCGATAAAATGACAAGATAAAACACGAGTGGTGTCATAAGTTTAGGCTAAGTCACATATATAAAAGTTAAAACCACAAAAGTAATCAATTACTCTTAATATTGAATGCGAGGTAGGTTTCAACAATGAATCCCTCCACTAACAATAAGACTAGTCACTACAAGATGATCCCTCGCTCAACTCTTCCAACATCTAGGCTTTAGCGGAGAGTAATTAACAAGCTTCTTATGAATCAATTAACTCACATAGTAGGATAACTATGAAGATAAGAGACTAGGGGAAAGAGTTCACCATTATCAAGCACTAGGTAGTAGTTGGAAGCCTCAGATCAGCAACCTCATTAGTCTCCAAAGTTTGGACAGCAATATAGAATGACTAAGGAGTTCTTGGCAGCAGTTAGGGGCCTTTCCGTTGAAGGTGTGGTGATGGGGAGCCTGCTGAACTATGTGGACATCAACTTTGGATAGCAGTTTGGCAGCTCCTGAGTGGTAGACAGCAAGTGAACCTGACTTGGACTCCTTGGACAGCAATCGGAAGGCCCTAGACAGCAGCTTTCTAGATCCTAAATCTCAGGGCAGCACTTAGAGCCATTCCAGATTTCTGGACAGCAAGTGGAAGGAGGGGAAATCAGTGACTTTCCTCTCCGGGTTGCACAGGAACTAAGGGATTTTAGTGGGGAATCCCGTGGGCAGCTGTGGGAGAAATTATTTGGGATCCAGTACTTGCTTAGGTGGCCAATATAATTAAATTTGGATTAAGTGAAATTGACGGGCTGAATTTGAATTTGAATTTGAATTCTAATTCTAATTGTGAGAATTAAAGTGGATGAGAGGGAATTTAGGGAGAATGAAATGGGGAGCAATTAATGCAATAGGAGAGAGAAAAGCCCCATGAAGGGGGCCGGCCACATATAGAGAGGGAAGAGATTAATTGTCATTAGTGAGTGGGGACCACAACACTAATCAAAGACTTATTAAAATCTGAATTAAATCTCAGATTTTGTAAGAAAAGGAAAGTTTCCAAATAGGAGGGCTATCAATTAAGATTAATTTGAATTTCAAATTCAAATTAAAATTCAATTAATATTATAGCCTAAAATCAATGAGTTATTTTAGGAAAGTAGTCAATGCTTCATGAGAAAATTGAATTTAAAAAAAGAAAAGAAAAAAGAACAAGACCCAAGAGGGGACGGCGGCAAGGTTGGGTGGCTGTAGGGGGATCGGCGGGTGGAGCTCTTGGCCGGCGGTGGGGTTCCAGCCGGGGCTAGGTTGGGAGGGGCGGCGGGATGGTTTGGTGGGGAGAATCGTGGAGAGGGAACCAAGGGGGGAGTGTCTCGGACCTTGGAAAAAAAGGAGAAGGAAATTTAAAACCCACAAACCTCAATTCTTCATCCGTTAGAACTCACAAAGAAATCTACAATACTACCTCCTCAAGAACTCACAAAGAGATCTCGAGAAAGTGATACGAACTCACAAAGAGATCAATAAGAGAAAAAAAAATTTCATTCATCAACTCCTAGTACAATGCATGAGGCCTCCTATAAATAGGCCAAAATGAAACAAAAACTAAAAGACATAAATGCCCTCAGGGCTACAATATCAAATGACCACCCCTAGGGGTAAAATGAGAAAAAAGGAAAACAAAATAAACTAGTACATAAGACACAAAAGAAAATAATAAACTCCACATCATAGCCGTCGATCTTCTGATGTCCTCATCATCATCGCTAATTTTTGTTGAGTTTGTTCCCTATGTATTGCTGATTTTTGTTGTTGGAAGACTAGATTCACTATTTTGGTTGTCCTTTTTGTTGTTTGGAGTCTAGATCCAGGTACATATAGCAGGAAAAAAAGTAGAAGTGCTAGAATGGAAGTTGGACAATTAAAATCTGATTTTGTAGAAAAGATTTCAGTTTTTTAAAATGCAACTTTCAGCCATCCATGAGAAGATCTATGAGAAGTTTGCCATCATGGAGGAGATAATGAGCAAGATGCTCGAGTAAACCAAAATAATATTATCGTAGGTGGGAGAGCCGGCGACGACCAAGGGAGTGGAGGAAACGCTAATCTGATAAGGAGAGGGGAAGATCAAGAGGTGAAAATGTTGGGGGAAGAAGAAAAGATGCCACATTTGGAGCCACTTCCAAGGAAGTGAAAGGGTGAAGGAGCGGATTGTTGGAGTTGCAGAGTTTGGAAGGAGAAAAAGATGGGGAAAAGATAAAAGCATCAGACATGGTTTAGCCACCCCTAAAGCAATATCGAGGGTGTTACAGCCAGTTCAAAGGTTGCCTCGTCCGCGGGATTGCGAGCATGCTATCATCTTGAAGGAAGAAGTCTTGCCTATCAGTGTTCGTCTGTACCGTCATCCTCAAATCTAGAATGAAGAGAATGAGAGATTAATCAAACATATGCTGGAGGCATGAATCATTTGACCCAGCGACAATCCATTTTTTAAACCAGTGCTATTATTCCAATGCTCCAACACAATTTCCTTCGTTCCACCTTGAGAAAAAGGTAGCACTTTGGGAGGGGAGTATTGATGGACCGGCCAATTTGATTGGGAGGGAATTGAAAGTTTCCTAATCAAGAGGGAGTTGTTTAGGAAGGTTCTTAATCAAAGGGGAATAATTTAGGAAAATTTTAATTACGATTGGGAGGGAATTATTTAGGGTGAGATCTAATTTGAATTCAAAATCTATGAGGGAATTATTTAGGGATAGGGAGGAATCAAGGGGAATTGTTTAGGAAAATTTTAATTATAATAGGGAGGGAATTATTTAAAGCAAAATAACTGATTTGAATTCAAATATGAACGAGAATTATTTAGGAAAACAGTGTTGATTTGGGAGGGAATTACGAGAGCCTATTTAAGACTAAGAATAAGGTGATTTCAGGATTATGATATTATTTGCTGAATTTAGATTGTTCTTAGGGAGTTTTGGGCTCTAGCCGGTGTCTAGGAATTTAGGAGAGCCGGATCTTCCTCTCCAATAGAAGATTCATTGTATATTGTTGTTTTCTTCCATATATCATCAATTAAAAAGAGTTTTTCTCTTATTATTGCTCTTAATTCCTCTTGGAGATTGTGTTTGGGATTGCTGTAATTTAATTTCAGCCAAGGGAGATAGGATTTTTACAAGCGCACTTCCTATCACATTCTTTAGGCATGCAGATTAGGTGCAAAGATTTAGGCTTTGGTGTACCAATGCCAAGTAAATTGGATTAATGATCAACAAGGATGTCAATTTTGACAGGTCAAGCATGCTTCAACAAAAATTGGCATGTACTGATAATTTGGGGAAAGACAAGATAGTAAAAAAGTATGTCATATTAGAGATTGAGCTTGAACAATCTTATGAAAGCTCACCACAACAGATTAATGATTTGTGATTGAAACTCCAACAAAGGTGACACCATCACAACCAGAAGAAACTATTCATTCCAATGAAAAAAGGGATGTTAGATACCACAAAATTTTGTTTATGAGGACTCCTCTTGTTGTCATATGGTTGCTTATACTTTGAGCATTCCTGAGTCTTTTGTTGATCAAGAGACAGTCACTTTTGTGAAAGTTGTCTGTTAAAATGAATCAAAGTAATGGACCACAATTATAGCAGAAGAGTCGGACCCTTTGTAGAAGAATGATAATTTGGATTTGGTTCAACTCCTAGAGATAAAAAGATCGTTGATTGCAAATTGACTTCAAAGCACATAGATGAAGACTACATTAGATACAAATGATGATTGGTTGCAGACTACGGTAAGGAATGTGTAGGCTTCAATGAGGTTCTCCACCTATTGTTAAGTATAACTTTATTCATACTCTGTTAGCAATGGTTGTGGTACATGACCTTAGAATAACTGGAGGTTAAGGCAACTTTTCTCCATGGTTATTTTGAATGAGGAGGTCCATATGAAATAACCATAAATATGTAAACGATGATTTAAGTGCATCATTTGAAATAAAAGATTTTGGTTTAAGTGCTAGAAAATCTTGTTATGAGATAAAAGATATAAAATCAACACACTTTATTTCAAACACAATAGAGATAGGATGAAAAGTTGTAGAAAGAATGAGGTTTCAATTTCTAAAATATTGGAGTTCAAGAGTATTGATATTCACTACCACATCACTAAAGAAAAGATTCAAAATTGCGAGGTTTCAACATCTAAAATATTCACGGAGCACAATCTTACTAACATGCTCACAAGGGTGGTCATAATTCTCAAGTTAAGACAATGTTTGGACTTGATTAGTTTGTGCAACTGTTGATGCCCTGTAAAGCCCTAGGTGATGAGTAGGCTTTTGTCATTTGAGCAGACATGGTTATTCAATTTAGTCTTGTTGATGGGGATGATTTAATGTATATATATATATATATATATTTTTTTTTTTTTTTTTTTTTTTTTTTTGTGCTATATAAAAATAACATAAAGGTTGTGGAAAACATATAATTTCTATTTTGAAATACGTGTTTCCTATCCATTAATCTAGGAGACTGACTGATTTATCTTTTGCAATAACACACTTATCTTCCTAGAATCATGGAGTTATCGACTATAAGAATTCATGCATCAAAGATCATTTATTTAGGAAAAATAATTTCCTTTTCTTTCATATATGCTTCTTGTTATTCCTCTATATATAACTTATCTATATACGGCCAAGAACTAGCTTGTAATTTATAATAGAATAAAAACAATTCTATCATTTTCTCATATGGTATTAGAGCCAAAGGGCTTTTTGTTTTCACTCTCTTCTCGTGTGCCAACTTTCGTCGATAGCAAGCCCTTTTCTCCGAGAGAGTCAGCCTTTTGCTAAGCAATGTTTGCTTGTGTGCTTTTTTCTCAATCCCTTAGTCAACTATTTTTAGCTGTTGAAGTTGTCGTGGATATAAGAAAGTTTTCCTAGTAAAATACAATAATTAAAAAAATGTTAAGTGTATAAATTGGGACTTTAAAATATCATTGTATGAGCATACTCATAAAGAAATATTTTTTACACAATTCTATCTAAATCAAAGTTTAAATCCAAATTGTAGCGACTTAAACAAGGCATACGATGATGAAATTACCAAGTGGCTATGCCCATATGTAAAAAATAAATTAAACTAATTAGAAGTACAAAAGCAATAGAAAAATCCTACAAGGGTGGTTTTAAATAGAAAATTGGTAAACTTACGAATTAAGAACAAGACTTTTGTTCAATGATTCATGCGGAACGCCCTTAAGGATTTAATGATTTGAATACACTTGCTCATAAAGCATACAAATGTTTTAAGATCACATTCAGCAAAAAACTAGAACAAGAAAAGAGTGGGTACCAACCATTCCCATTAGTAAGTGCTTTGAAAATTATTGCAAAAGTTTTGGGTTCTTCCTCACCTACACCATAATAAACTCCCCAAAGTTCTGGGTGGGGAAAGAAACTATAAAGGATTCTTAAAAAATAAATGTTGTACAAAATGTGCCCGTAGGCTTGAGACCTCATGGAGCGGAAGCATAAGCTTTAAAAGACACTAAAGTTCAATAAACACAATTTAGAACTTACGAAACATGTTTACAGACAATCTAAGATCTCCCTATACAATTTTTTCAAGTATCTAGTTTGTCTGACTGCACGAAATACTTTAAATATAATGTGATTTAAGCTCTTATTTTATTTTTTTTTTACAACACCAAAAAATCATTTCAAATGAGAGTAGCAATCCCTACCTATTACAAAAACCAAAATAAAATAAAATAAAAATAAACAAACAGATTTTTAAAAAGAAAGAAGGCAACATTATTAAAAAGCATCTAATCTAGGGGGAAAAAAGGGCAAGAAAAACACACCTGAGGGATCACAATTGCCAAGTTTAGAACACCCATCGCAAGTCCTACAAAGCCAAGCATCAGCCCATTGAGCCACATTAAGATATGAAAAGAAATAATGCATATGTTGACAAATACATCACAGGGATTAGTAATTGAAAAGTTGGCACTCACCTTGTCCAAGCCCTAAAGACTCTATACGAGCGGATATCAATGCATAAGGAAGACTATAGGTGATCTGCAAAAGGTCAGCATAAATTGATAAATAAACCATATTTCAACTGTAGAGGCAACCATAATTTGGAAACAGAAAAGCTTAGGAAATTCAGAGATAAAATATATTGCAAGACAAAGAAGAAATGTTATTTACTCAACTGCCAAAGGCGCGCCCAGGACGGTGAAAACAATTAGAGCAGCAACAACTATGCCAGTCGGTGGCAATCCTGTGCTCGAAATATCCATATTTTTCAACACCGCAGTTATTATGAGCATTGCACCCAAGCAGAAAGATAAAATAATGCTTGAAATTCCCCAAACTAAGCCAGATCCCAACTTTCTGCAAAGTTTTTCCAGCATTACCGAAGTAAACCCAAGAACAATAGCATTCAACATTAGCCCGAAAGCTCCCATCCTCACTCCTGTATGATAATTTTGCCCTCCATTTGGATCTCCTCTGTATATTTCTCGTCCCATCCAATCAGTGTCAAAGAGGGTGAAAGGAAACCATCCTATCCAATTAAGGCAAGTGACAATTAAGATTATCCAAATAGGCAATGTTATATATCGAAACACGCCCAGCAAATCCCAAAAGAAAGCCTCTTGAGCGGGTGTTTCCTCATCGGGTGATGAAGAGGCTCTAGAAAGGGGAACTTCCTTGACTGATGATATACTTATATATGTACTTAAAACAAGAAGAATAACATCAACAAGGAAAACTGACTTGAGGTTCGCACAATTTGTATTACAAGCTGACGTGAGAGTAAATGGTAAGATCTTAAACCAGCCACTAAAAGACCCAGCAGCATAGCCCAGAACACTACCCAAGGCCATAAAGAGAGAATAATACGCATTTGCTACCCGAGTTCTCCTGTGATCCTTCCCTGTAACAATTGGACAAAAATAACAAAATAAAGAAAATATCAGCTACGTGCAAGTTTTGCATGGCTAATGTAACATACCCAAAGCTTTGACTAAGCTAAGGTATTAACTATAGAAAACACAAGCATTTAAATATATGGCTCATATTACACGATCTGCAACAGTAACGCACTGATTGTTAATTTTTCTGGATATTTGTAATGTACAGATGAACTACCAGTGTTAAGGAAATAGCCTGCATACTGTAGCACACAATGGTCTCTCCAATGCTCAAATCTATTGCATGCTTAGAGTATCACGTTAAAAAAGTATATAATAACAACAATATGTTTAATACTAGGTGAGTATCCATGGAACAAGATGTATAAAACAGATATTAGCAAACATACCTTATGATCAAGAAATCTTATACATCCATATTCAAAGAACTAGCTACTTAGAAAGCACAAAACCTTGTTATTATTTACACCTAGATAGATCCTGGGAATATAACAATCATGTAAAATTTGTAATCTCAAAATATCATGATTGCATTTTAGAATTATATTTATGCCATAAGACAATAGAGGTGGCATGTTTCATTAAAACACTTGATATGCCATCAAAAAAGTGTTAGGGAAGATGACGAGTAAACACCAAAATGATGAAACAAGCAAAAAAAGTAAAAGCACGAAAAAAGTAAAGGGAACCAGGATTTAATGTGAAAAAACTCAAAATAGAGAAAAAACTACGGAGTCACACCACACCAAGAAATCCACTATAGAAATTGGGAGAAATAAGTACATATATGTCTTCTCTCTCACTCTATCCTTGCTTCTTTTCTCACATGCACCGTTTTCAACGTCTACACAAAATACAAGATAAAGCAAAGTAAAATAACCTCAAGGAACACAACCCTTCAGAAAAACGAGAAAGAAAACCGCTCAGTCCGTCTTGCAGTGTGAGTTTGGGGCATTGCGGAGCTGAAGCCTCTGTCTTGCACCACTGCAGTGCCGTATCTATACCGTTGCGGCGCTCTACTCTCTATCGTTCAGCATTGGAGCGCTCAGGAACACAGCGCCGAGGCGCTGTACGAAAAAAATAAATTTCGGGCACACCCGAACCCAATCAAGGAGTAAACCCCCTGCACCCCCCAAAGAACACAACAAGATTTAAGGTCCAAGACAACAAAGTAATCAGATTGATCAACACAATCAGATTCCACACATAACAACAAGTTTTGGCACAATATCATATCTCAAAGCACCCAATATTTAGGCCAAAGACTTTTGATATTGATTCCAAAATCATATGAACTCTTTAGAAAATGTAGAATTAAGACAAACCGATTCAAATAGAAGAACCCAATAATATTAAGAATGCCTGAATATGAGACAAAATGAGTCTAAATCAAGCATTCAAAAGCATAAGTGAAATTTTCCAGACGCCATTTAAGAGGTAGAACATCCTCCGATTTTGCAAACTTATAGTCAAACAGAGCATCTCGATGAAATGAATCTAATGAGCCCAAAATTGCTCAATTGCAATTTTGGGTTCATTAGACATTAAGATATCTACAAATTATAGCACGATCAAATGAGACCTTTTTTTACAACTCGATGGAGTGTTTAGATTTTTGGACATCAATGACTATAGCATCCCTCTATAAATCTAAAATAGGCTTTATTTATACACTTTAAGAGGAAGATTCTTAGTTAAAAGAAATCCAGGATTCATAGATAATATTATAGATCAAATCAATGGCAGTTGTCAACTAACATCAATGCACTTTTCACCACCATCTATCAACCAACATCAAACAACCATCAACACCATCTGTCATACATCAAAAAATATCGACAATTTCTATCACCATCGTTAGATGTGGAATGTCAACCAACTTTTACACTTACTAATGCCATCACCTGGAAATGGTTGTCAATCCACATCGACGCCCGTTGTTGAAGCAAGAAGCTGCCACTACTTATCATTGATCATCAATCAACATCAATGTCTATCAACACCATCACCATATGTCAATCATAGATCAACAACAATGCCCACCATTGCCACCATCCAATGTAAGTCAGCAACTGCATTCAAGTATTTAACATCAGTCTTCATGGTTGTCTGGTACTCCCTCCTATCAGGAGGATTGCTAACTTAACTATCCACATCATAACCCAACATCATTTTTCAGCAGACGTCCAATATTCGTTAGCCATAGACATGATGCTTATTCTTTGGGGCCTAAGTTCCCCACCTATTAAAAAAATGAGAAAGCCAGCTACCCATTGTCTTCTGACTTTGACATTCCTTGTTGATTGTCATCCAATGTCAGCTAAGAACAAACACTAAGCTTCCTAGGTGCCTGATCTACCCTCTTCTCAGAAAGTGATTGATCGAACACCATCGCCTAGCTTTCGATGTTCATTGGACATCCTTCATTACCTACCAACAAATGATGTTCGACGTTCATCAATTATTGGTAGACATCTTGTCAATCTCTTGATCTCCCCTTTTTCAAAAGAACATTGAACCAATAGCCCAATCACAACATTCCTAGTGACTATTGTTGGAGGCCTACAAATAAGCGGAAGTGTAAGCTAAAGCCATGGATTGGAACGCACAATGGAGGCTGTTCGCGAGCAAGATTGAGCTCGATTCGGCGGGATTTCTCGTGGAGTTAATGCATGTAGCCACTTAGATCGCAGTAGGTGCACAGGTGGTTCTTTGATGGTAAAAACTGACCAATGTGGAGATTGTTATGTATTGGTCTGATTTTAGGATAGGTTGATCTGCATATAGATCTCATTAGTGTAAATGCTTATAAATAAGCATTGTATGTATGTTGTAAGGACACCCCTTGTAAGCCAGTGAATAAAGGAAATTGGATTTACTGTAATCTCCTTCCCTCTCCTCCATCTCTCTCTCTCTCTCTCATCCAAGATCAAGAAGAACAAGTTCTTCTTCCTTATTCTAGTTCTAACACTTTGAATAGCTTACACGCCCCCTTAGTAATTATGTGCAAGGATTAGAAATGAGTGAAGTAACATGCGGATGGTATTTAGCTACTCATCATTCCATGCGTCTTAAGTTTCTATGTCCCCTGGATAACAAAAAAGGGCTTTACAAGTTACGGCAAAACTTCACGTTCTCAGTTAAAAAATTGTTCATATATTTTGGCTGCATAGATTGTTGATGTCATCATGCCTGAAAACATATATATGTGGCATCCTGCTTATTCTTAATGCCTTAGTGTATTTCCTATGGATCGAAAGGAAAAATAGGAGGTTTAACCCTCTACCGTGTGTGTAACTCCTCTGGCTAAAAAGATTAACAGAGTTATCAAAATAAAAACATCGAGATGGAAAAATGGGGAGCTATTGAAAGATAGTATGTTTGGTGTTAGCTAAGCTATGCTTGGTAGTCCTGTTGTCTTTATGGTGGCCGATATTCTTTTATATTCTGATGGTGATGTGCTGGTCCACCATCTACTGATGGGATCTTTTAGCAGTTCCTCCGCCTGTAGACTTCCTGTGGTCTCTTCGAGCCAAGCTATATTATGTTGCCTGTAGTTCAAACCGTGATGCCTCTCCAGATTCCTTTGGCAGACTATTTTTTGGGCATGGGCAATGATGAAGCATGCCCTATCCTCCCTTTGGATGGCCATCCGGCAACCAAGGGAGCTATTGACTCGCTTTTATGAAACTTGCCTATTCTGAGTTCAAGCCAAACATGTTTTTCCTATTTATTTTGGTTTTTGATGGTTTATTTTGTGTTGTTTTGCTTTGTTGTTCCTATAGGTTTAGATTTTTGCCTCCTTTTGTTGCAGGCAGATTTTGGTTTTTCTTACACTTGTACACCTGTTTTTATCTTCAATAGAATGGGCTAGGCCCTAATTACACCCCCCCAAAAAAATCTATTACGTTTTTTTCTTCATTTAATGCCGTTGAGCAAGTCCAAACATTTAATATTCTCCAACTACAAATGACAGCATTCAATTTGCAAATTCACAAGACTCCTTTCCTGCCCTCCAGAACGATGACAAAAATAAATAACCAACAAATAATATCTCCCAGCAAATCAAACAACCCAAATTGAACTGGGAAAAGCATTCGTGGCACTTAATTAAAAAAGAAGTTCGTTTCTCTAAAATTAATAATCCAAGTCACATGATTTGAGGCCATTAAAAAAAACAAAGCTAATTAACAAAAAATCATCGTGGTTTCCAATGCCCTACCCTGAATCATAAAAACCCACCGCAAGATTGCCATTGATGGACTCATATTTACTAAACGAGCCAAGTAACCGGTACATACAACTAGAACTTGAACCGCCATAAAATTCTTCATAGGAAAGCACCGAAGGGAACACAAAAGAATCACCCAAGCTCTGTCTATTCCTTCTCACGCGCCACTTGAAATAGATAAGGGAGGATAAGAGGACGAACCTGTGAGATCGGCAAGAAGAGCCCTACAAGGCCCCTGGATGGTGTTATTTCCAACATCAAGAAGCCAAAACCCCACCACGAATATAGCAATAGCACGAGGCCGGACAACCGCATCAGCAGGATCGCCCAAAATACCGCCAATATCGGCCGCGTGCCCGATCAGTAGAACGGATACCGCGATGACGGCGGCGCCACCAATAATGAAAGGGCGGCGCCGCCCCAATTTACTATAGCATCGATCGCTCATGACGCCGACAAGGGGCTGCACGAAGAGCCCCGAGAGCGGCCCGCAGAGCCACACGAAGCTTGCAAACGAGTGCGGGATTCCCAGCTCCTGTACGTAGGGAGTCAGCAGCGAGAGCTGCAGAGCCCATCCGAACTGCACACCGCTCGCCACTACTGTCACTTGTAAGAGCAGCCGCAGCGGAACCCTAGCTTCCCGTCGGGGAGGCGGTGGAGGCGGAGGTGGAGGCGGGGGCCTCGATTTTTTGATGCGATCCCTACCGCTGGTAGTCGCTACTTCCGCCGCCGATGAAAGGGATGATCGCGGACGGCTTTTCGCCGGCGGCGGTTGTGTGCCAGTCAACTCGTGTGGTGGATCGCTCATCCCGATATCGGGCGGGAGATGAAGATCACAGCAGATTCACAGCAATCTGCTGTGTAGTGGTGGGAAGAGAGATTTCTTGGAGCCGGAAAGAGATAAGGAGAGTTGGGCCACCGGCGATTCGATTACCGTCACTAGGCCTTTTGTTTTGCCACTGTCTACTGCGGTGACGTTAGCTAAAGTTGACCTGTCATGAGTGTAAACAGAACGCGCCGAAAGACAAGAATGCGCGGGGTGGAGTGCAACTCCCATTTTCCTAGTAAATTGGGCCGCCACTGTCCACAGAGACAGTGTGTGTATGTTTACCGTTGATTAATGCTGATCATGAATTTGCTTTTGAGAATTACTTTTTTTTTTTAAATAATTATAAAATTATTTATTGATTCTTTTGACAATGGTATATTTATTTTTAAGAAAAAATTAATGGCAAAGACCAATTCATTAATTTGATACATAATTATAAAATATAATTTCAAATTTATCACAAAATATCATCAAAGGTACAAAAAATAATAATAATAATGTTCAAAATATAACATCAAAATTAACCACAACACTAAATATCAACCTTTGAAAAATTAAATATTGAACTTGAAAAGGTTAAAAAATACCCATTTTACAACCAAAGAGCAGCTGATAGTTATAAGCACCTTTGATTACTTAAAAATTATTATGTGCGGTCAACAGATCGTTCGGAGGTTAATTAGGACGCGTCACATCACTCGATATATAATGATACATAGTAACGATACACAATAAATTGGTGACGTGGCACATTCTGATTGACCTGCGAATGATATCCAGTAACCACACATAATAATTTCACCTAATTACCAAAAGTCTTCCAGAGAGTGCAAGCACGCAGATTCGAACGAGTATAAACTGATCAGTCAAAACAGTCCAGAGGCACATTGCAGCTCTCATTCCATAATATAGAAAATTCCTTTGATTTTATGACTTTTTCAATTTTACATGCTTTGCATTTATTTATAGTCTTCTTAATAATATGAAATGCAGTAGTTTGGCATTGATTTTTATTTCCAAATCTCTTATATTATTTCTTTTTCCTCAAAAAAATATAACACAACAATATATAGAGAGAGAAGAGAGTTTTTAACAGCATGAGACATCAAAGAAAGCTCTTGAATGCTTTAAAAAATTAAATTTCTTCTGAGCAAAAAAGTGGTGGAAGAAGGAAGGGAGAATGCTCCATACCATAGTCAAAGTGTAATCACATTATATTTAAAGAACAAGTGATTAATACTTTCAGGATCAGAAAACCAAAAGCTGCACTTAGCCTTCACTAAGATGTTTTGAATTATTAAAATATCAGTAGTTTTCTAACTTTCAACCGAAGCACATAACATAAATTTACTCAATTTCATCACAGATATATTAGCATAAAATGATTTTAAGATAGGAACTGAAGCGAAGTTTAATCAAACACATCCACAACACCAGAAGAGAATGTGATATTTGAAATAAGACAATAGAGAAATAAGGAGAGAAATGTCATTCTCCAAGCATTAATGATGCAATGTTGAAGAGAAGTGATGTAAATAATTTAATATAAATATGTTCCATAACACCTGATACGTCACCAAAAATCTTCTTGATCAAGCATGTATTTCAATGCACATATGACATTGAGACTTCAAAATTTAAAATCGATCTGATCACTAATTTCAGCAAGCTTATAGTCAAATTGAACATCTCAAGGAGTTGAGCCCAACGACATCAAATTTGATCCAATCCGAGCCCAAATGAGCCCAAATCAAAGGTACAAAGTCTATTTAAAAGATTCAAAACATTAATTGGACTGCCAAATGATATCTAAATAAGACATATTTTTAGTCGAATTGAGCGGTTCGACGAGACAAATCCAACGAGCCTAAGATCACTCAATTCTAATATCTCTAGGGCATCTAAATGCTTGATAAAAGATTAATGATCAACGAGATTACTACGAGTTATCCGATGAAACACTCCCAACATGTCCTTGATCTTCTCCATATTTACTATTCGTGTCACTCACAAAAAACTATAAATAACCTCTCATTCTTCACATGAGGGGGGAAGAAGAAAATGATAAAACTTGGAGGCTCCCTTGCCGTTGACTACCGTCGGATCTCTTCCCAACCATTGATCGTCGATGGACTTCTGTCAATTCATTGGCTGCCATCGGATCTCTTGCCGACCACCATCCATCGTCGAACTTCTTCCATTCTTTGATTATCGTCAAAACACTTCCTCGATGCTATCAATGTTGGATCTCCTCCCAAATGTTGTTGCCTGGCGACTATGGTCTTTTTGAGATCTATTGCCTAACAATTATAGTTTTGCTGACCATCATCACCTGACAACGATCTTTCTAACAGCCATCGCCTTCATACAGTATCTCTGACCACTATCTCCCAAATACAATCTCTCCGACTACCATCGCCCAACTTCGATGTCTCCGAACATCGTCTCCTAATTATTGTCTCTCCGACTATCATCACCCAACTACTGTCATCTTGATTACTGTCATTCGACTATAGTATTTTTATCCTCTATCGCCTGTCAATTACGATATCTCTTACCATTATTTTCAGATTATGGTCTCTTCGATCACTGTATCCCAATCACCATCGCCAGACTACAATATTTCCATCCTCCATCATCCGTCGATTACGCTCTCTCCGACCATTGTTTTCATACAGTGGTCTCTCCGACCACTATCATCTGACTACGATCCTTAGGACCATCATCGCTTAACTACAGTTCTTCCCACCTCCGTCATTCGTCGACTATGGTCGCTTTGACTTCTATCACCCTGCCTACTACATTCACTCTGACCACCATCGCCCGCCGACTATGACTCTTCTAAATTTCATCGCACATCAATTATGATCCCTCCAACCAATGCCCTACTGAATTCTTCAAACTCCCACCATGTAATGCACTCTACATGATTTATATTCATATGCTTAGTATTATTTATTTATTTTTAATTTGATAACTGCGCCTATACTCGTATTATATTTCTTAATAAAGTAATTTATTAGATTGCATTTAGCTATTTTAAAATATTCAAAAATTATTTAATTAAAAAATTAAAATTTAAATCAAAATATGTGTAATGTTGAGCTGTTGTAGCTCACTGTGATTTTGCTTCGAGTTTTTGGGATTTATGAAGGGAAAGAAGATTGTTGATTAATAGTTTAAGACAATTAGAGTTTATAGGTATTTCCTTATTTTAATTTTTGGGCAATCATTGAAAGTTTATTATTCAGTTATGTAGCTTCTTCAATTAGTCATGCAATGTAGTGTAGATATATTTTGAAGGAATAAAAAAATATTGTGGATGATTTTATTTTCAATATGTGTAGGTTTAGTAGCTATGCAGTCTATATTTTATTTTAAATGATCGAAAAAGAAATTGAAATATTCCAAAGCTAGATATTCAGATTTGTCTGTCACAACTCAACACGATAGGACCTATCCCGATCGAGTTGAGTTGTGATAGTAGCTAGTGTTAGTCGTCAGCATGATAGTTGGAAAATGCAAGAGAGCTCTTACTAGTTCTCTCTTATTCTTCTTCTTCTTTTTCTACCTCTTTTATGTGAAAAATGGGAGTCTATTTATAATATTTTTGAGTAGCATGCTCAGTAAAATTAGAGAATATCTAGGATAAATTTGAAGTATTCTATCAGATGGTTTAAAAGTGATTTATTTGATCATAGAGCTTTCATCAATCATTTAAGTGTCTCAGTGATGTTAGAATTAAGTGATCTTAGGCTTGTGGATTCATCTCGTTGAGCCGCTCTATTCAACTATAAGCATATCGTATTTTGAGATTATTTGGTTACCCAATTAATTCTGTAAAACTTTTAAATAAGCTTCAATCCCTTAAATCAAGCCCACCTAAACCCTACATTTGACCGATTTTGGTGTCATCAGCTTCATCTTGTCATAACGATCAGTTTGACTATAAGTTTGATGAGATCGAAATTTGGATGATCGTAAATTAAATTTTGATAATTTCAATTCAAATATGCTTCGAAATTCAAGCCATCCTAAGATGGTTTTTGGTGAGGTACCAATATCTATGTTAAATGGGATAATAAATTTAATAGAACTATATTATTTAAGTTAATCTTATACCAAAATATTATTTTTATAACAAATATTTTCAAAAAGAATTGATAGCGTATACATCCAAATGAAATGTGAATATGTTGATAAAATTGTCAAAATGTTTGGTCCAATTAAAAAAGTACGTACTTATTTGAATTTTATCAAGTGAAATTGACAAGTATCATAATTAATAAATATGCTATTTGCAAGTAGGCCCTCATATTTTATTATGAATGAGTCACAAACTTATTATTATATATTCTTCTCTAAAAATACATTTGAAATATATGATAGACTAATCATTTAATGATTAAATTTAATACATAAGTCCAAATCTAATAACATATTAATGATTTAATGCCATGGACATATTCTCAGCTTATTCAAAATTAAAATAAAATTACAGAAGAATAAGTAGCATTACAAATAACTTTTCAAAACAAAGGAATTGATATCTTAAGTATATAAATAAAAGATTTAATATATATATATATATATATATA